AGCTTGGCAAAAAAGAGAAACATTTTACAAATAAATTAATAAATACATAATATATAAATTTAATTACGAAATTATTTTAAAAATATTTTATATAAATTAAATCAATTTTAATATAAATGCCCGAAATATAAAAATAATTGCCAGCTGTCTGGTATTGTTTGCAGCGGAAAATGATAAAATAATAATATATTAAAATATATTTATTATGAAAACTATAATTTATAGCTTAAAGAGGTTTAATACATAATTTAATAAAATTAATATAATGTATTTAAATATATATAATAAATATAAAATCATACGCCCCGCCCCGTCCACCCAACATATGAGAAACTATTTGAGCTGCACTAATTCCGCATTTATTTGGCATTTATTAGGTCGGAGCCCAAAACACACAATTACAATCACAGCCATTAGCCTCAGCTTGTTCACATCTGTTTTTACACATGTATTGCTTTACAGCTTTTGCCATAACGCCTGCGGCTATGCTTTGAATAATGTTGCACGCTTGTCAAGCCTCGTTCCCCTAACACAAGCCCCCTCTCTCTCTCTCCCTTCCTCTCTCTTTTTCAATTGGCCTCCAGTTACGACTTTGGTTTGCTCATAAGTTTATATATATTTATCTCAATATTTCTCTGCTTTGCTATGCTCATCTGCTTGCCAAAAAACAAAGCATTTTAATGTAGCGATTTCCCAGAAGAACTGCATTTATATATAGATATATATATATATTTAAATTTGTATGCATGTATTTGTGTCTTACATTCGACTGCCTGCTTGCATGTATATGCATAAATATATTTATGCAAATCCAACACTTCAGGCATATTTTCCTGCTCAACATTTTGCGTGCAACTGCGAATGACTTTGTCCTGGTTAATGTATTGACTTTTGTTTTCCTTATACACTTAACTTAAACTTCGCTACACTTTAATGATTTTAAATTAAATTTAATTTAAAAAGTGTTAAATAAAATAAATTTCAAATATTTATTTAAATAAATAAACTTAAAACGTATATTTAATACACAAATTGCGTACGATTCGAAAGGGTATGCCATGTTCAGTCTAAATATCCTTAGCTTACCTGAGTCATTGCAATTTTCGTAGAATACTTAAGTGCATTTGATTGTATGTATGCGTGTCTGTTGGGCTAAAAGTATGCTTTGCATTTGATACTTAGCTGGTAAACATTTGCGAAAGGGCTTAATTTGTTTATGCATGGCAAACAAATTGTTGAAATAATTAAAATTCCATATGGCCCTGGCTTACAAGTTCTTAAAGCAAAGCCCCAAGAAAACGAAAATGAAAATGAAAATGTTAATTTAATTGCGATGTAAATTGAATGTGATGCCTACTGGAGTTAACTTTCGAGTCTGCAACAAGATAAAAGATCATAGTTATAAAAACACAAAATTGTGCTCAAACTTTGAGAGCAACGACATTTTTCCTCGGCTAGGCCAGCTCTGACACAAAAGTTGATGTCTCAAGTGTGAAGTGAAATTCATATACACACAGAGAAAGAGAGAGAGAGAGAGAGATGTGAGCGCACATAAGTGCAGTTTCCGTCTTTGACTTGGCACATAAATCTTAAGACAGTTAACGACATCATATGCCAAGTCAGCGAGGTCAGATGAACTTGCATTGCGGTAAAAGGGCGAGCGGGGAGAGGCGAATGTGGGAACTGTTTTCCCAAAAATTATATGCCGCATGAAGCCTGTGCAGAACTTTATGCGCTTTTCATTCAGCGCATAATTTTAAGGAGCAGTGGCTGGGGGACAGTCAGCGCCAAAACGAGCAGATGCAACTCGAGAGGACGAAGTGCGCGTTGCCGGTTTGAGGAAACCAATTTGTGGTAATTGTCGTGAAATTGCAATTTCTGCAACTGTAATGGGCCAAGTGCAGCTACAGTTGCGCCACAGTCGAAAAGCGAGACGGGCCGTGACTTGGTTAAATGAGGTTCCAGCAAGTGTAATTCGCTAAGAAAGCTGTGCGTGGGTGGTAAAGTGGGTGTCAGAGCAGCTGCGTTGAGCTGAAATAATGCAGTGGCCGTTAAGGTCTATGGATGTCGAGCGATTGCGCGTGTAAATGACAAATATGAGCAGGTTAAGATGCATTTCGTTGCTTAAAAAGGGGTTTAAAAACTAATGAAGGAAGCATAGCTTAAGATACATTGATGTAGAATGCATATATAAAAAATACGATTAAAATGAAGGCAACAAAATATCTTCTCATTCAAGTAAATAATGCAGATTTGAGTTACAAAATAAATAACTTCAATAAAACTATTTTAATAATTTTATTTGCTATTATATTAAGTACTTAAGTAGTTTATTGAAGGCTTTTTTGGCTTCTAAAATATTTAAGCTTCTCTAGAATTTGATTATTGTTTATAATAAGAATCGATGGCAAATGAAGTTTTCGTTGTACTTTTGGCAATTCATAATAGGCATTTCTTTAAATTCTTAAAATTCACAGAGCTTGAGTGATCCATCTGATACTTTCAACCAAGTCTGGTATTATAGACCTTCATTTGCTGCAAGCTCATTAAGTTGATAAGTTTAGTTGCTCATATGGAATGCACTAAAATATATATTGTGTTTCAAATGAAGTGGATACGAGCTGGCAGCACCCTAATGCCGCCATATATTGATGATGCTTTATCGTTAGCACAATTTACGGCATGCCAGAGGCAGCAAGTGCGCATTCGCAGATACAATGCAGATACTTGCAGATACTTATAGATACTTGGCTTGGCTTTGCCAGCTTTATCGGTGCAAAATCACGTGCGCATAAAACTTTCCAATCAGCGATGGTCGCTCTCCTCTCTCTCTCTCTCTCTCTTAAGCACACACACATATATGGCAGCTGCAAAAGAGGTGCTTAACAAGCTCTCAGCAACAACATCGTCGCACCTGTCGCTGAGTCAGTTGCAATAAGTTGGTTCGTTTTTATTCTTTTCTCATTTTTTTGTCATAGTTTTCGTTATCTTTTGCTAGCGAGAAAGTTGGAACTTGAAATGGCAAATCCATACAATAAATATATAAAATGTTACTTTCTGTGTCACACCTGAACTAACCTCAAATAAATTTCTCGCACATGTGTCAGGCAGGCTGGCAGGCAGGTGAGCAGGTGAGCAGGCGAACAGGCGAGCTGCAAACAAAAGAGTGAACAAAGTGCAATTCATATGTGTGTATGTATTTAGCACAAGGAGTGTGTGGAAAAACTTTCCGTTCGATAAGAGACCAGCGGGCAAGACCAGAGGCTGTAGCTGAGTGCTATGCGTCGCATGTATCCCCCATACCCCTTACTCCAGCTGCAACCTTCGTCTTGCAGGCGAAACGCAACAATTTCCAATCACTTCCGTTGCAGCGACACAATTTTCTATATTTATACTTTACGACAGCAGTTCGAAAGCTGCTCCCACCCCTAAAAAAGGCTAAAGAGGGCCAACAAAAAAATATGTAGAGTAGCCAAAACATGGCGAAAGCTGAATACCCTAAATACCCCCAAAATTCAGACTAGATTCTATAAAAACTATCTATGAATTACAAAAGACAACTTGCCTAAAGGATGAACATAAAAAAGCTGGCAAATATTTTTTTAAAAAATAACTAATATATAATTTATAAAATATATTTTCTGCAAAATGATTTTCACTTTTTTTTAGACTAACCACATTCCATAGCTAACTAAACTTCAGTTAGGGTATTTTGCAACTGGTTTGAAGGCACGCTTAGTTTATTTTTGAAGCCAGCTTCAGTTGGAATTGGTTACCAACGCCTCCTTTTGTTGCCATTCTCCTTTTCTCTGCCCTACTCAAATGGCACCACGTTGCGTATGAGTGTTGTCTGTGCAACGGAAACTTTGGGAGCGCTTCTCTAAAGTGTTGCAAAATGAAAAGTTTTCATGCGCTTTGTTGTTGCAATGATTCGATTTGTTGCGATTGCGTTTTTAGTCTTTTGCATGTGCGCTCCAAAACTTTTGCCCGCCCCTCGCACCCAAACTAAACGGGAACTGAGTGGGTGGGCTATGGGCGCACGTTGCGTATGCGTATTGTGCTTGGGCCAAGATAAAGCAAGCAATTGCCATGCAAAAACTTTGCACACAAATACCCTACTGGGGCGAGCCTGAGCAGCAATCGAGCTTTGTTCCTTGGATTTATTGTTGCAACTTAAAGTTATTTCCGCTTGCAGCTGCAGCAGCTGTTTGTCAATTGCGCAGAAAACGACTTTAAAAGTTGCTGCCTGATTAATTATGGTTAATATATTCTATAAATATTACGCATACGACATGTTAAATCAGTTGCATTTTATTATTTACCCAAGCGTCCTCAACCACTCAATGCTGCAGTCAACAAATTGAGGCAGTCAACATGGAACATGGAAGCTGGAGTTGCATACTCCAAACACACACAAACACACACACAGCAACAAACTGCCTTAAAAGCATAATTATGAATTGTTGTTGGTCATTAAGTTGTGCTTCACAAATGGTAAATAAAAAAGAGTTTGAAATGAATGACGAATGCAGCATACTCTCTATAGGCTCTAGAGCAGTCAAAGTAAAAGTCTGACAAATTGGCTGTAGGACTCTTACAGTCAAAGAATATACTCCTCGAACTTTATAGTTTGATCAGCAGAAATGTCTTTTATATATTCAAATAAAATATAATAAAAAATATAACATATATTATTTCATATTCAATATGATTTTAAAGTCTCTTCTGCTCTAAATAATTTATTTATATAATATATTATTAATTAATTGTATTTCTAAAACCTGTATACCCCTCTTCCACTCACTCTTGCAGCGCTTGCAAAACAATTAAAATTGTCATCATGTTGTTCGCTTCTTTCTGCTCTCCCGCCCTTCTCTCACTGCTACTTGAACATTTACCACTTGAACTTTGCATTTATATAAATTTCTAACAATTCTTTTTACATTTTTTTGTTGTACAATTTTTATATAATTTACTATGTATTTTGTTGTTATTTGCAGAGCGAAAACTTTTCGTTGGCATGCTGAATAAAAAATATACGGAAGCCGATGTGAGGCAACTGTTCACGGGCCACGGCACCATCGAGGAGTGCACGGTGCTGCGGGATCAGGTGGGGCAGAGCAAGGGCTGCGCCTTCGTAACATTCGCAACCAAACAGAATGCCATTGGGGCGATCAAGGTAAGTTCAAATTATGTACTTGCATATAGAGAATACTATCAAATAGTAGATCGGCCTGCTAAAGCTCGTTTAAAGCTTTAAGCCTGTAATTTGTGTGTCTGTGTAAAAGTATCTGTGTTGGCCGCATCGCAAAACTGTCGCAATGATTAATTGCTGTGGCGGCAAGAGTCGCGCATATAAAACACGATGCTCCACGGCAACATAAAGCGAGAAACTTGCATTTAAGAGCTGCTTAACCCGAAGATACCCTAATAGGCTGCAGGCACTTCTATTAAAGTTAATGCACAAGAAAACAAAAATAAATATTTATGCAAAAATCATTTGTGCATTGAACTCGAAAATTGACTGTCTTCTTAAACAGTTTTAAAAAAATGTTTATGAAAAATAAATTTAAATACTGGTTTCAATTTATTCCATGCACTTCTTCTAGTGTTTCTTTCAGCTAATTCCATTTTGTAGTGGAGCAGCTCAATAAAATTTGTATTATATATATATATTACGTATATATATATTACGTGGACTACTTCCACAGATTCTTTTTATTGAAACTAGCTAAATATAAAAGGGAATATAATTACTTGCAGCTTTATTTACCTAAGTCTTGTAATTTCTACAAAATTAACCCCCAATATCAATCCTATTCTTATTTAACAGTACATCAATTAGTTGATTGAAGACTTATATAAGTTACATGAGGATTCTAAAACATTATGCCTATTAGTCTAGCATATCTTACTCACGTCTAAATGACTGAGCATAAACCGCATGCAGCTGCAACAACAACAACAACAACAACAAACAAAATGCAACAACAGCAGCGGCAACAGGAAGTAGAAATGCAAGCAAGACGCCGCCGCTGGCAGCGGAAGAAGTCAACGGCAATGCTTTTGCCAGAGCAGAGAGCCAAACAGATTCCATAGCAAAAGCCATGTGCCCCAGCCTGCAATGGTCACACACACAGACACACTCACACACACTAACGTGTCACACACTAATGCAAGTTTTGTGCCGGAAACAGGCAAAATTACAAACTTCCGACAGGCAAACACAAACACATGTAAAGCACACACCAAAAGCAACTGAAGAGTGGGAGCCTCCTGTGTGTGAGTGTGCGTGGTAGGTTGTGTTTAGGGTGGACCAAAGTGTGGGCGACTCAAACATGTTGTCTCTGTGTCTGTGCATTGCACATAATTTGTCGCCTTTTGCAAGATGAATGTGTTGCGGGCGAGCTGCATTATATACAAGCCGACAAATACATATATATATATATAAATATATATATAAGTACATATATAGACATGTATGTATTTGTTGTGCAATTTTAATGCATTTGAAGTCAAATTACTGAATGCGAAGCACGCACCAAGCCAAACGCAATGAGCTGCTGCTGCTGCTGTTGCTGCTGGCCAAATGATTTGGCAAGTCAGCGCTGTATAGCTGAGAGAGGAAGGGTTAAGAGACGCGGGGGTGGTAAGTGGGCTTAAGGGCTAACAGCGGGCGTGGCTAGTAGCTGCAAGTCATTGCAGTCCATTGACGCCTGAAAGTATGCAATGCCGAGCGAGCGAGCGAACCAAGAGCGAAATACATTTAATATTAATGTGCCATGTTTGTAAAGCCAGCAATTTATTTTGCCACAGCCACGCCCACCCAACAGTTGTCTCTGCTTCATCTTCCTTTCTAGTGGTTGTTGCTGCTGTGTATTTTTTTATATATATATTTTTTTTAAGCAAATGATGATACACAATTTTTCATCACATGCAGATTTGCTCCTCGCGCTAATTTGTCAAGTGTTTCTGGGCACTTGGCTCGGACTGTAAAGTGGAATTTCATGTTGATTACCAGGTCATTTAACTCGTTTTTTTTTTATATTTTCGCCCAGCTGAGCAGAGACTGACAGGCAAAAGAAATGTTGAATACAAAAATGTTTTGCTGGGTAACTAAAAAACTGAATTTCGTTTCTTTGTGGCTTAAAGAAAACATTTTTCGTTGATTTTCTTAAGAAAAAACTTTCAGAAAATGTCTTAAATCAATTGCTAGTTCTATCAAGAGTTGCATATCTTTAAGTAAATTGTATAGAGTTTTATTTAATCGGCACTTTTATGCACAAATGGCAAATTGAACTTCATTCATCTGATAAACTTCTTAAGTACATAAAATTAATTCAAATAAAATACTTTTATTAATCGTCGAGCTTAATTAATCATTGCTCCTTGGCTAATACCAACTTAAACTATAGTGTTTGAGTCAAAGAGAAAAGTTTTGTCACCTTGGCACAATTTTTCTGTGTGAGCCAAAGAAGACTTCAGACTCTTCAAGTTATGCTGCTGAACATACATTTGTCAGCCAATAATCTCTATCAATATAAATCAGATTTCATCAAACTCAGCTGTTTCAGACAATTTTTAAAAGAACACAAAAAACTATTGCACTATATAGAACAACTTCCATTTAGCTGTTCGCATTTCTTTTTCTAACTTTTTGGCTTCCCAACAAGGTTATTACGACAAGCAACTTTAGCGACCTGTTTAAAAACTCGGAAATTTGCCTAATTACTTTGTTGCCAGCAGCAGGATGCGACACTGTAAATGCAAGAACAACAACAACAGTAACAACAACAACAGTTGCAGTAACAGCAGCAGCCGGTCATAAAAGTCGCGCCGCAGCCGCAAGAATTATAGTCAATGTAATTAAAGAGCACTTCTGTTGACTGTGCCAGAACACCCTGATGGCCAGGCTCAGAGCACTGGCAGCACCAGTCAGCCAGGCCGGCTGGGAGTGTGACTCCCCAGGCAGACCCAAGAGCCCACAGCCACAGCAGCCAGAATTTCACAAACTGTCGGCCCGGCCACAATTGAGCGGAAGTTGGCGAGGCTCGTCGCCTGGTCTCAATGATAAAGTCTACATAAACCGGGAAATGACTAAAGTGGCTTGGGCCCATTCCGTTGCAAGCCCTCAACTCATACCCGAGCCGCCCCTAGCAACCTCCGAGCATCCTCTTGAGCGGAACTGCATCTAATGCCGCGCGCGATTTGGCCTGGTTTATGTTTTAGTTTCGTGTCCATTTGTTTGTTTTGTTGGGCTTAGTAAAAGGTGTAAATTAAGTCGCTTAGGCTAAATTGCTGCGGTCTGTAGCAGCAGAAGCAGTCAGGCTGATCCTGTAGCAGGAAGCTTTGCCCAGGCGGCGGCTTTGTTATTGCTCCAGCTTAAGTTCGCGTCATTATTATTTTCTTCTGGCCATAAAACTTATGAAAACAACTAAAGTTGTTTTAGCTGCTGCCTGCTTGAGTCATTGCTGCACACAAATTGTACTTCGAGTGGCGTAGCCAAAGCCTGAAAATGGGGCAAAGACGTTCAATGGAACGTAATTCAAGTGGAAAAGAAGCATTTTATAAGTTAAGATTGGTAAATAAATGCTTAAACATTAAGGTCACTAGAAATAAAAGTTTAGTACTTCGCTTAAATCTACATAAGTTTATATTCAAATTATTGCTGGAAATAAATTTATCAAAAAATTAATGTATTCCGCTATGTGAATCATTCCATCAATCCCACAACTAACTGGCTTATTAGACAGTTCATTAATCTGTGATCTTTTAGCTGTTATCAGTAAAACTGTTAATCATTCAAATTATTCATAAGTTAGCCAATTAATCAATCCAACAATCAATGTCAATCAAACTACTTTATAAAGCAATCAATAAGTCTGTTAATTCTGTTATTCAGTCAGTCAATCAACCAGTTTATCAGTCAGTCCATCAATCATAAGTCAATCAATCTTCTAGTATATAATTTAACCAATAAGTCTGACAATTATTCAGTCAGTCAATAAACTAGCCGAGCGGACAGTTAATCAATCCGTCAGTTATCAGTTATTCGATGGGTAAATCCTTTCTCTTCTATAACATTATCTCTCAATCAATCAGTCAATTAGAATATTCATGAATTTACACTAACTTTATATACAACCCTCGTCGTTTCAGGCCCTGCATCAGAGCCAGACCATGGAAGGCTGTTCGGCGCCTCTGGTCGTTAAGTTCGCCGACACACAAAAGGAGAAGGATCAAAAGAAGATGCAACAGCTGCAGGCTATATGCGGCATCAGTGCACTGACACAACCGCCCAGTGGCGCTGCAGCAGCGGCTGCCACGCCGACAGCGAATACGGCAACAGCGCTGATTGCTGCAGCGCCGGCAGCGCAACGCCCGAATCCATCGATGGCCGCTGCATTGGCAGGTGTGCCGCCGGTGCAGAGCGGCGGTGCTGGAGCACAGACAGCGACGCTTGTTACAGTGCCGACGACGGCAGCATTGAACGCCTCTTTGGCCCCGGCATTGCTTGGCAGCAGTCCGCATCATGCCCAGACGCCGGGCGCAGCGGCAGCAGCAGCAGCAGCTGCCTATCTCAGCGCCGATCCAACGGCTCACTTGCAGCTCTATCAGCAGATGCAGCCCTACGGACTACTGCCGGCCCACTATCTGCAAGGTGAGTGTGCAAGGTTCGAACCCTGGCCAAAATAGTTAGCCAATAAGCCCCCGAAAAAATATCCAATCGGAACGTACCCTCAGCTCAGTTAGTCATTGCCATAAACAGAAAAAACCACAGTGTTTCCTTTTCCATCTCTACCTCTACCTCTCTATCTCTCTCTCTCTCTCTCTCGCTCTCTCTCTGTGTCTCTTTATCTATCTCTCTCTTTCTCTGTCTACATTTGTCGCTATATATATTTCTATTTTACTTTGTTTCTTACACGTTTTGCTCGATAAAAAAGTTCCTCAACTATTTCTCGTGTTAATTGCGCGCACTTTGTGACTTGTTCTTTTCGTATATATTTTAATTTTTTTTGCAATCAAATATCAATTTTGTTGTTCTATTTAATTGCGTGTTTAGTTGTACCCATTACCAAACAATTTGTTTAACTATTTTTCGTACTTATCTATCAATTTATCTGTTTCGTTTCGCCATTGAAATTTGTTGTTTACCTGGAATTTTAATTAGTTAGCGCTTAGTTTTGTGTGTAATGTTATATTGTTTTTTTTTTTTATGTGTGTGAATTCGAATTTGGTAAGGAAGCAATCGAAGAGGTTAAACAAGACAAAGGAAATGATTGGCATCTGGAAGAAACAGCAAAGAAAAGCCGCATTGAATGAGCTGCAATTGTTGAGTTGAGTTGAGGTCAATAAATTGAATAGATTTTAATATAGATACTACGGAAAAGTCATTTATATTTTACTCTTATTTTTAAACAAAAAAAATTGTTTGAAAATATTTTTTGAGCGAATTTTTGTCAAGGAAATCTTATTTAAAATACAAAAAGCTTTGACTTGATTATTTTGGCATATATGTATAGTAAAATTTCAAACTATTGCTTATCGGCTAAAAAAATATCGATTCGATATAGAATTTGAATCTAACAATTCAATTATTTTGTCTTTAAGCCATATTACAGCTGAGCTTAGCTAAATAATCTGCTTTGTTAAGCAACAGATTTTATTTATATAAAACTAAGTACGCCCAGATTATTTCAGTCAATCTAGTTAGCTTTAATAAATCTTCATTTTACGTTGGGTCTACAGGTAATTCATTTTCCACTATATTTCATAGCGCTTCCTGGAAGATAAATGACTTTAAATGTGGCAAGCTAAGCGCCTCTACACAGCAGTCATTTGTTGAACATTTAAAAAAGTAAACAAGAATTAATGTACAAGTTGCAAATGCTAGCGATTTTTTCTATTATTTATTTTTGTTGTTTCTCCCCTTTAAACTCTGTCGTCGCTTCATTTATAACAGGCGACTTTTCGACTGACACAAAGTCAGCTAAAGGGAAACTAACAAAGACATGAATAACAGTTGAACAGGAGGCAGAGGCAGGCACCTACAGCCCCTACAACATCTCTCCACACACAGCTGGCGTCTCTTCAGTCATTTGCAAGCGACAACTGTCAAATAATTAATTTCAATTTAAGCAAACGAAATTTACATAAATGTAGAACAGAGCGTAAAAAACAAGAGAAAAAGAATACAGATATATATATATATATATATAAATATATATATATATATATATATATATATATATATATATGAAAAACAATGTTAAGGTAGGGTAGCTACGAGTGGGTTTTGGAGAGCAGGCCGGACTAAAGAGCATGATGAATAAAACAAAAATTCTAATAGGATTAAAAGGTGGACAGGCGCTGGCAATGGCCAAGGCATTGCACAGATTTCAGGCCAAAGATATACAACAACAACAATAGCAGCAGCAGAAAAAAGAAACACGCACACATAGTTAAAGCTACAGACAGACACCAATACTGCGACACGTACGCGGCGTCAATGTGAACGTGTTGCATATGCAACGGCGCTTCATTAGAATGACCAGCGTGCCACGCCCATACCGAACAGCACTACAGACAGCCCAACTCTCAACTCTTGTCTGGCCGTCCAACTCCATCTGTCCATCTGTCTGGCCAGTCTCGACGACGTGAACATTTTGCGCATAACAAATCAAGCACAAGAGTTGCCAACAACAACAAAAAGAACCAAAAGAATCACAGACAGCCAAATGTTGAGCGACGCGTGATGTAATCGTAAAAAAAAAATGAAGTTGATGTAACTTTTTTTACATTGGTGATACTTTGAATGCTCTTCGAGAATTTCTATAATATATAAATAAAATATATAATATTAAACAAATATATAATATATATTTCCTAAATTCAACTAAAGAAAGCCAACTTTGAATACTTCAAATTATTTTCCATTGTTAAAAGACTTATGTTTTCTGAAAAGAATTCAAACAGATTTTCAAATTATTTATCAGACAAAGTCGAATCCAATATAATGAGCTCATTGACCGATTGATGAATCTGAATATCTAGTTAGTTACTTTTTATATAGTATCAACTTTCAAAAATATTAATTAGCAATAATTAATTGGCTTCTTGATTGACTTATTGTGTGATTGATAACCCATACAAACAAAGTAGCCAAGTATTTTTTTATTAAAAAGAAACCATCAAGAATCATTAAAAGCTTAACCTTCTGACTATTTGACTTAAATTAACTGATTGACGAAGTGATTGCTAATCAAGCCTTAGAGTCTAATATCTTCGTAATCTTTGATAAAATGACTACATATCAACGTGATTGACTGATTGAATAAATGAGCAGCTCAGCATCTCTAATTGCCCAGTGTCACAAGCTTCATGACAAAGTTAATGGACGCTACGACAAAAGCAGTATTTTGCAGTTGGGTGGTGGCAAATGAGAAACAGTTAACGACAACGGTAAGCGGTGCCAGCCAAGGGCAGAGATGGGCAGTTAGAGGCAACTTAGAGCGACGTATGCCACTTGAATAACAAATGACGTTTTTTAAATGTCAGCAACGGACGCCGAGACACAAACTTGGACTCTAAATGGGGGCGCTCCCTGATGGTCAGCAAATGTATGGGACGTGCCTTTTATGTTAGAGGCAGAGAGCAAAAAAAAAAATAGAAATCCGCCTTTTGGTTAAGTGTGCAACCTGTAAATGTGGCAGATTTAACCAATTTACGTTAAAAGTTTCCATGAAGAACTTTTCTCGCTCGCACTTAAATTAGTGGAAAAACTTCTTACACAGGAGGCGTGGCAGTTGCTAATTATTTAATATGGTATGAGAGCATGTGCAGTGCTAGGCAAACGCCTTTGTGTGTGCTTTAGCAAAATTTTTATTAAAAAAAAATTGTGCTTTTGCCCACACGTCTGGCATATTTGGACTTGCAATTTTTACAAGCCATGCCAAGACCCCGAGGCAGCGCAGCATCAAAGGCAGCGCAGGTGAGGCCTAAGAAAGACATAAGAATTGCCAGAGGCAGTGAGTAGCAGTAGAAGGAGGCGAGCGCTTATAATACCCAATAGCTTCGGGCCACTGACGAGGACACTGGCATGTAAACAAATGCACAAGACAGAAAGGATGAAAAAAGGAAGAGAAAAAACACAGTTAGATTACACTGGAAAGAAAAAGGTGTGCTAAAATATGAGAAAATAAATACATCGCAAAGTGAGAATGAAATTCTGGTTTTTATGTTAATAGCTCATCTAATTTCAAGCCCTAAGCTGCTGTTCCTTAAGTTGGTGGTCTTAATCATTTATTTATTTCACAAAATTCCAGTTTTAATATGCTTCGATGCTTAATGTAAAGAAACTTCTTCGTCTTCTCTCTGTGCACCATAGGCCACAGGTGAAGCGCACTTAAAATTTCTATGAAGACGACAAATCCCCAAAGGGTTAACCGGGTGATAGCAAAAAGTATAGACTTAGTAATAAAAAACGCATTGTCTATGATAGTTGAAATAATGGCTTTTCCAGCAGCCAACTTGCAGCTCATTCAAAGGGAAATTTGCTCTAAAATGAAGAAAAAATAACAAAATTTGTAAAATAAGCAGAAAGGTATCTAAAAACTCTGCCTGTTTTGTTGAATGTTGTGCCCCATGTCTGTGCTCATCTATATTTGTGGGCATGCCACATACACACTCACACACACACACGCTCATATGTAAACACACACACACACACCCACGTGCCTGGCAGTCTATGTGTCGCTCGCTCCTTCTCTCCCCCTCTAGCTTGTACTCTACCTTCTGTTCAGGAGTCCTTCGTTTTGTGTAGCTGCTTGCCAACTAATGTAGTAACAATTCTAAAGATTTCGTTGCAACATCAATTCGCAGTTGATTAGCGCCCTAAGAACCAACCGCCATGCCTTTCATTCCGAGCAGCCTTTTTACTTTAGAGCCTTTTAATGCAAATGCATTTATTAATTTATTTTTAATTTAATTATTTAGCTATTATTATATGTCTAACTGCATTTGAAACTGAATTTATGTCTATGCGTTTTTAGTAATTTTTGTTTATTTTATTAATTTTTATTTCAAATATTTTACAATTATTTTAATGAATTTATATTTTTTATTTTGTCAAAATTTTGAATTTTTTATTTTCTAAATTATTTGATTTCGGTTTCATTTTCTTCATTTTTTCTATTATTTTGTTTTTGTTTTTAAAATTATTTTTTTTATTTGTTTGCCCTTTTATGTTTATTTATGTTTTATGATTTGTATGTTATATATATTTACATGAAAAATGAAAAAATCAAATTTCAACAAAATTAATTTTTAATTTCTTGTAAATGTAAATAATCCAATTGGGTGTGTGTTTTCTTCTATGTTTTTTATATATATAAATATTCGTTGAACATTTTTTGGTATGTCTATGATTGACTCTGTGGTCATGTACAAAAACAAATCAATCAATCAATCAATCAATCAACCAACTCAACCAAACCTTACAACCATAAACCAAAACTCAAAAACTGTACAAAAAAAAAAAAAAACAAAAACAAAAATATGGAAACTGAAAACAGGACTAAATTTCCACCCATCGGATAACAGTGCCCACCACGGCCAACACGGCCCATCATCCGGCGCTGCCGCCAGCACAGCAGCAGCATCTCTATCGGCTGCAGGCGCCGCCGCCGCCGCAGCTGCAGCAGCAGCAGCTGTCTCCGGGCCACCCGCATCAGCAACAGCAGGCGCACCACCCCCAGCATCATCATCTCTCCCACTTGGCATCGCATCATCCGCATCCGGCTACAGCGGCGGCGGCGGCGGCAGCTGCAGCGGGAGTCTCGCTGCCGCCGGGCATGCTCCTGGCACTGGACTGCTCACCAGTGCATCCATGTCTATGCAGAATCTGGTAACATTGCTCAATGCTAGCCAGCACAGCAACAGCAGCGGCATCAGCAGCCTCAGTCACAGCCATCGCCTCCACAGCAGCAACAGCAACAACAGCAACAATAGCAACAGCAACAACAACAGCCACATACCCAACAGCAGCAACATTCTCAGTAGTCATCAACGTCAGCTTGGAGCCAGCTTTGCGCCCAGCGCTGGACAATTGGTCACGCATGCGCATCACAATTTAAATTTGGCACAGCTAATGGGCGTGGCACCGCCACCGCCGCCAGCGAGCGCCAGCCAAACGCTCACGCTGAGCGCGCTCTGTAAGTAGATGCCAATCTCTTTGTATGTATATGTATTTCTGTGTACGTATGTCTGTCTGTGTATGTGTGTATGTGTGTCTAATTGCAGCGGGCGTGAAAGTGTGTATATAACTGTTAACTGTCTGTTTGAAAGTGTGTGTACTAAAAGTGCATTTAAAAATAACGCCTGCACAGCCACCCACACACACCCAAAACACGCCTCCACATTCCTGCAGCTATATGCCGCCTGCATGCGCCTTACCCTGCCCCCGCCCCAAAATTATAACCCGTATACTAATAAAAAAATAACTCAATGCCGAGTCTACACAAAACAGTTACCCCCAAAACTATGTTACAACTAATTGCAAATTTAACAAAAAAATCCCCCCAAATCCAAAATACATACATGCATATATGTTCTAAATTACAGTTGTAATTCGATCAAAAGAATATTTTATATACTATTGATATTTTTTTAAATAAATTTTTTATTTCCAAAAGTTTTTCAGATCATGTCAAGGCTTTAAAACAGTTGAAAGTTTGATATATTTGACTATAAAAATATTCATATTTAATGTTGGAAAAAAATATTATAAATAAATATATTTATAATAAAATTCATTTTGATAGATATTTTCATATTTTTTTCTTAGAACAGGTTGTCAGTTAGTTTATTAATCTATATAATAAGTATATATATATATGAATACATATATACATATATATGGACATCAACAATAGCATTAACAAACAACCTAGTGAATGTTTTGATAAAAATAATATTAGAAAATATCTTTAAAAAAATAGGAGACAAAACTATATATAGAAAAAAGAACTATCGATAGTTGCTGTAATAAAAGTTTCGTTACTAATGATATGTCGCTTAATTATCGATTAAATACTATGATCGATATAGAAATATAAAATGATAAATGTTCATATATATCTTAATACCTATATTTATTTCCCAGAGAATTCTTCTTGATTTTATTCATTGCTTAGCAGCTCTCCAATTTATTTCAATTAAAAATTATAAATACAATACTCAGTCCATTTTTTTTATTTACTTCACCCACTTTTTTATCTAGTCAAAACAAATAAATATATCAAATTGAATAAGTTCAAATACGCCCACACAACTTGATTCTAAGCCAGTCACCTGAAAGCCCACCCCCACAAGCGGCCTATTGTTAATTAAAAACACATGTAGTCGTAGCTGGCCCCGTTCCTCCTACCTTCCTTTTGTGTTACCCTTTAAATTTCTGCCTAGTTTTTATTTACATACTCTGTCAATAAAAATTGTTATGCCATAACAACAACAAAAAAGCGTTGAGCAATTTTACAATTTTACAATTTTGACACAGCAAAAAATGCTAAATAAAAACAAATGGAAAAAATCAAATCATGCCACTGACAGAAAGAAAAAAGTTAGAATTGTTGATTGCAAAATAAAAAAAAAATTAAGCTGATATAGTTGGCTGTACTGGACTGGGAGTTACCCTGTAATAGTTAATTTAGCTCTAAAAGCTACCAAAATCGAAATCGATTATTCATAGCAAAAAACCGATGCATAAAATATGTTTAGCTATTCGGCTGTTCAGCAAGAAATATTCTAAGGGTCTATATTTATACTTAGTAATTATACCCTATATTTACACATTATCAATGGGTAATAACAATTTCAAAATCGGAATCCCAGCAGATGCAGAAAATTTATTAAATGCTGCATAAAAGGCTCGAGGCTTCAGAAGTTCGACAATAAACATTGATTTATAGCTATTATTATGATAATAAATGTAATCTAAGCATAGACAAAAAAGTAATAACAAATATATTTGGAATTGGAATCAATTGCTTTAAAGAAAATTAATTTTTATATTATGATATATCCTATATTTTTTGATAGAATTTATTTATAATTCGAATTTGGTGCATTAAAAAAATAGTTTAGGGACATTCTAAACACATTTTTTTATATTTTGTAAGGATTTCATGAAAATTTAATATAGTCTATTTTTTTTAATAATAATTATAATAAGAAGAATCATTGAAACATTTAGTATTCATGTGGTATACTTTGCACACAGCATTTAATAAAAAGAATTAGCTATTGAATTTATATGGACTTATTTCCCAGCACTGATTAGACAGCGAGCTCCAATCAATATTTTGCCCGATTGCCAGCACGCCGCGGGGTATTTTAAAAATTAATATCTCTCTAAATTGTGCACAGAACGCAATAAAATAAAAGTGGAGCGTAAAAAATGTAAAGCCATAATTTGATGGTATATAAAAAATTTTGGCCATGTTTATGATGATTCACATCTCGTTTTTTTGTTCACATGTCGAGTGCACATGAAATGCAAAACTTTCATTGCGTAGCAAGTTTCTGCGCCCTTTTTGCTTTGTTGTTTGTTTCTTTTTGTTTGTTATGTATTACACGTATGTAAATAACAAAAGAAACGAGGAGAAAACGTAATAAATTTTTAGTAGATTACAAAAATTTTCCTGTGCGAGTGTGTTCGTGTGTGTGTGTGTTCCACAAAGCAAAAGGCCAGGTTGAGGGGATTTTGGGTTTTTGGGTTTGGGGGCTCAGCTCAATTAAAAAACAGGCGCCGTGCGCATAACAAAGGCTAACAACAAATTTTTTTATGCTACAACAAAAGGATATATAAAATTTAATAATGTAAGGCTAGCAGCAGGCGAAAAGAAAATAATAATAAAACAACAACAGAAAACGGAGAACAAAAACTAAGAATGAAACGAATTTTTATTATTGGCACGCCGAAGCTTTTATACACTTGTGGGTGGATAGCTTAGCAGCTTTACCTTTGACTAATTGTGCCAAAAGAATTTATAAAATATTTAATAGTAGGTCGATTTGTCTATTCTTTGAAATGAAAAACAAATCGTATAATTGAGAATTTCCATGATTATGCGTTTTTCATATGATATATTTATAAATTTAAACTTTTAAGTTTGTTGAAAGGTCACTAGCACCTTCATATCAAAGCAAGAATATTCTCTGAAAGGGCATAACAAAGGCAAGCCAAGGGTTAACATACATAAAGCGCGGTTTCCATATGCGTTAACTCAGCGTCGCCACATAGACTTGAGTGTTTATGTGTGTGATTCTGTGTATTGTGTGTTTGTGTGTGTGTGAGTGCATGGGCGTGCCCACAAGTTTCTGTTCTTGTCTCTGTTTATCGTGTAATTTGTATTTTTCTTTTATTGATCAGTAATTTGTCTAAACTCAAGCAACAACAATCAGTGCTCATATTTTTCTCTTTCCCTTAGATCAGCGTCAATTTGTTGAAATATAATTTTAAAAATATCGAAAAAATTTGAAATTTTAGGGCCTCCCAGTGCCGCAGATCCTTATGGCACCAACACTTTTACCGGCTTGCCCAATGGAGCGAGTGCCGCAGCAGCCGCTTATGGGGCCGCACAAACGCTGAATGCCAGCGCCTTGCAAGCAGCCGCAGCGGGCGTGGCAGGCAAACAGATCGAGGGTAAGTCAATATACAGTGAACGCTCCTTAATTAGAACTTAGAGGAATTGGAAAAGTAATTTAGTTGAATGCAATATATAGAGTAATAATTGAGAAAAATTTAATCGAAATATTAATCAGTAATTAATCATTGATAGTGGTTAACGGATTTTGTCTCGATTACGCATCTGTCAATCAGCTGAGCTACTTGTTGTTCTGTATATAGTATGGGTTTATCACAGTGATTAGTAATCTGTCATAAATCGTTCAGACATTGATTATACGACATTCAGTCAATCAGTAATGTATAGATCACAGTTGATAAGGTGCAATAGAAAAGTAATTGATCAAAGTGAACTTTTGCCTCATTACCAATTAATTAAAAAGTCAATGAGTCATTACTAAGCGTTGACTTTAAGGCTTGAACGCTCCATCGATTAAGACTTGCCAGCAACAGCTTGATCGGAATGACAGGGAGAGAGTCAACACAATATATATCAATGTAGTTCAATATAGCACTTGGCTTCATCAGCAAGCGATCAATCAGTCATGATTATACTTATTAACTAAACCTTAGTCAGCAATCAATGAAACAAACAGATAACTAGTAAAGACCGGTCAAGCAACTAATCATATTAAATAAAAAGAGATATTTATAATTGATACTGAAATGATGAAGAATCACAGAATTTTTTGATATTTAAATAAGTTGAAGCATTTCCTCACTTCTGCAATTCCCCAATCCCATTAGGTAGCGTTCACTGTATTAGCATTCCCGAAACATTCGCAAATATTAATTATCTCATCTTCAATTATAGGTCCCGATGGCAGCAATCTGTTTATCTATCATCTACCTCAGGAATTCATAGATACCGATCTCGCTTCGACATTTTTGCCCTTTGGCAATGTGCTGTCGGCCAAAGTGTTTATCGATAAGCAAACAAATCTATCGAAATGCTTTGGCTTCGTTTCCTACGACAATCGGCATTCAGCAGATGCGGCCATACAAGCAATGCACGGCTTTCAGATAGGCACAAAGCGCTTGAAGGTGCAGCTAAAGCGGCCCAAGGACTTGGGCAAGCCCTACTAAGCGTCTGCAGTGGGTGTGGCCAAAAGCCATCAATCACAAAGCCCAATACACAAATAGTAATAGAGTAGTTCCATATTGTGCCTTTTAGCGTGAAATGTTTTCGAAACCAAAGGACCAATTAATAAAATGTATCTAATGTTAAGCGAACACCAAATATGCAAAAAAAAAAAACATCAAAAAACGAGGGCACAAATCAATTATTTCTTCAAATGCACAAAACAAAAAGTGGGTAAAAAACAAACAAATCAACAAACAAATAGAAATATTCACACAAAACCAACCAAAGAAGTAGCTTAAAAGTTGCATCCTTTTGTTGTAATCACTTTTGCTGAAAAAATAACAATTTCTAGTGCATTATATTCAATATTCGTGTGGTTGGCAAAACAAAGAACTTAAAAGTAAATAAAAATGGGAAAACCAACATAAAACTGAGCTGCGTTGTGGCGCCAAAGTATTTTCAAAGCCAAATAGTTAAGCAAAAATAAAAAAAAAATAAAAAATGGGAAAATCAATGAAAAATTTTCAAGCAAAAATCACATAGAAAAAAATTAAAAATATTATACTTAATTAATTTGTAGTTTTTAGTAATAAAAAAAATGTGCTGGATTTAGATTTGGATAAAGAGAAATGTTTGGTTGAAAACAATATCCAGATTAGCTCTGATAAATATTTATAAACATATATATATATATATATATATATATATATATATATATATATATATATATATATATATATTTATATATTTTAGTAGACATAGTTCTATGGCACAAAAAAACATTCGAAATTCCGTTCGTAGCGCGCACACATTGCAATCTGAGAATGAAATCGACTTTCCTATGAAAATCGGAAATGAGAAATCCTTGCAGCTACTTAGCTTTAATAATTTCAAACAAACTATTTCTTATGTCTGTCGTACTATATATATATATAAAAATTCTAGAATATTAATTCTGAAAGCTAACCTAAGCAAAAGTTATAAAATAATTCTTACTTCGTCACCAACAGCCTAATCATATTCTATATATTTTATTTCAATAGTTCTAAACTATTTTGTTAAATCATTCAAATTACTATATAAACAAAAAGTGTACTTAAATTGCATAAATTTTACAAATACATTTATCTTTGCATCAGTAATGAGAATTAATTGATCTAATGTTTTATTAGCTGTTTAGTGAATATTGAAAGTTAACTTTATAAATATTTTAAAATAACTGCAAGACAAGCAAACGGTTCAATAAAATAAACACTAAAATAAAAATGATTCACAATAGTATCTATTTTTTAGTAAAAATATTTTCATATGTTATGTGTTGTGCAAGGAGCGAAGCTCTTAAGTCCTTGACGGCGGGATCTTAACACATTTATGCGATTGTTCGTGCATTTTTTATGTGTCCTGACAACTCAACTGGGCGCTGATAGCCCAAAGGAGTCGCTGAGCTGGCCAACGAGCAGCATAAATCAAAAACTGCCAACAGCCATGCCCCTTCGCCTCAACGCCTCTCGCTCTCGCACCACATCTGTTGGCGTTGCTGCTGCAATTCAAATGTTGGCGTTAACGCATGAAATATGCATATGTATATGGGGGAAGTGCCAGGATATGTTTGACTATAAAGATGCAGTTTCTGTGCAGATGTTCGCTGCAATCCTTGCCATTTTTCGTGCCCCACACCCAGACCCATTCGCACACAGTATGTTTAACTGCCAGAAAAATGTTATAGTTTGGCAGGTCAAAGCAAACATTCCTCAAACTTCAAACTGATTCCTGTCTGAACCGTCCACTCGCACTATAGTCCAGTCTGGTTGAGCTTGTGAAGCGCAGCAGAACAAAAATAAACAATTCAAATTGACAAAAATAATAAAATAATATTAAGACGAAGTCAAAATGTCAGATAAAGAAGACGAAGAAGCTCGTAAACAGCAGACAGATCGCGTAGATCAGTCCACACAGCATACGACTGGCCGCCCACGGCCGCCCCCGCGCCCGTTGCGTAACCAATCGCCAGGCGAACAGGGGCCCCGTAGAGATCGCCCTCTCTTGGTGACAAGGACAGATAAGGAGTCCGACGAGCAACCCAATCAAAGCTCGCCCACGGGCTCTATCCAGCCGATCAGTAAAGAAGAAACAGAAGAAACAGAAGAATCGCCCAAGAAAAGAACTAGATTCGCCCGACTATTTTCACGCAAGGATAAGGAGTTATATGATGGGGACCAATACGAATCAAATACCGAGCATGAAACGCCAATCCGTAGATCAGCAGACAGACAGGGTATGAGAACGAAAGCTTCACGCATTCTCTACACGACCGACGAGGAGGTGCGCGACGCACTCTTGGAATTTGCCTTGTTTATCATATTTCTCATCTTAACTTGTTTGGGTAAGTAATATGTTAGTTGATCCTTGGCAGCTGTAGTTTAACAGCTGTAGTTTAGCAGTTGTAGTTTAACAGTTACATAGTGTTACTTTACCAGTTGTAGTTTAACAGTTACATAAACCGACTTACATTAACAGAATTACATTAACAATTACATTAACAGTTACATTAACAGCCATTGGGCTCCTTTTTCATATTCCATCTCAATAGTAAATACTGTATTCAATTTCCATTGCAGTCACGCTCTCTGTTCGTCACTCATATATGTTTTATTTCAACGATACGATAAAAAAACTTTTCACCACCCGTGACATGATTATATCGTCTTCGGTAACCGTTACATTTGAGAAGGTTCTGACCATACCAGACTTTTGGGACTATTTAATTTATAATTTTTTAGTAAATCTGCACGGCGATATGTCCGGCGTTACTGCGGATTTCGAGCAAGTTCATGACCTAGATAATACAACCCAGACAAATAATGAAAACCAAAATGAAGATGTACCGCCACCGCCAGATCCGCCACCTGAAGATCGTAGACATAAACAAAAACATGGAACACAGTCGACCAATACGACAAATCTCATAGGCAGAGTCTTTCTGCATGAGAACCTATTGTTGGGACCACCACGATTACGACAGATCCGTGTGCGCAAGGATAGCTGCTATGTGAATGATGCCTTTATACGATACTTCAACACCTGCTATTCTCAGTATACGGCTGGGACAGAAGAGATTGTGAGTGATCACATGGGCGCACCATTTAGAACAATGAGGGATTTGGACTCGACTCCATTGTGGACACAATTGAATTTCTATCGATCTGGTGGCTATACCGTCGACCTAACATTTAATAAGAAGGAAAATCTAATGATTCTCAAAAAGTTAAGGAATCAACATTGGTTGGATCGCGGTTCACGTCTTTGCCTGATCGAGTTTAATCTTTTTAATGAAAATACAGATACCTTTCAGAGCGCCAAGTAAGTCGATAAGGCAGTGCCTAAAAAAATAAATTATCTATAAAAATATTTTGTTTATACCCTGACCCATTTCATATCGCTATACAACAACAAACCTATATACAACAAACTATGTAGATTATTTCTTGTTTATATTAGAGTTGATTGTAATAAATTATATTTTCTTCTTTACAGATTTATTGCGGAAATACCGCCCACAGGCGGCGTTATACCACAGAGTCAGCTGCAGACAGTTAAGGAATTTACATTTTTAACTGATAAAAGCCTGGTCATGACCTGTATCTATATCTTTTGGTATGTTATGGTCATGTATTATACAATTTCGGAAATAGCTGCAATCCGTAAATGTGGCATCAAGAATTACTTTTCATCCATATTGAACATACAGGATTTGCTTATATTAATCGTAGGTTCCACAAAATATCCAAAAATTTGTTTGCTTGAAATTCTACTTCATAGTTTTCTTACCTGGCTCTGGTCTACAATATTTGGCATATGTTCAAAGTGAATAATGTGGTGGATACATTTAAGAGCCAGGATACATACATAAGCTTGGATACTTTGTGCTTGTGGAATACCATCTATGTAGACATGATGGCTATTTTGGCGTTTCTCGTTTGGGTGAAGATCTTTAAATTCATTAGCTTCAACAAGACGCTCGTGCAGTTTACAACGACATTGCGCCGCGTAAGTTGCCAGACATCGCACTCCCGGGTCATTTTCCCCCAAATTCTTTCTCTGTATTTAGTGTTCGAAGGATTTGGCTGGCTTTAGTCTTATGTTTGGCATCGTATTTCTGGCCTATGCCCAACTGGGTCTGCTGCTCTTTGGCACTAAGCATCCCGATTTTCGTAATTTTCTGACCTCTATTTTGACCATGATACGCATGATTCTGGGCGACTTTCAATATAATCTTATTGAGCAGGCCAACCGAGTGCTGGGACCCATTTACTTTCTCACCTACATTCTGCTGGTCTTCTTTATTCTACTGGTAAGAATTAAGATATTCTATCGAAACAACGATCTCCGATCGCTCATCGCCATTATCTTTTAGAATATGTTCCTGGCCATCATAATGGAGACGTACAACTCGGTGAAAAGCGAAATAACGCATGGTCGCAGTCAGCTCGGCGCCTATGTCTATAAGAAAATGGCAGCTTTCTTCTATATAATTAAGCACTGTGGACGTAAGCGTAGTAATCGAGTACTGCCGCCGGTAATTGATCCCGATGACGATTTAGCCCCTGATGTGACTACGCGCCGCTTTCAACCTAAGGAAAGGATTCATTTACGCAGAAATATAACTGAGGCCGAGTAACAGCTGAATATATCAATAACGTGTTACAATAATTCACGTATATATTTTTTCTTTTTAGAGCTCACTATTTCGAAGATGTTCCAAATGACGTTAAGAATAAGGATATGTTTCGGTAAGCAAATAATTTCTATATATTCATTCATCTACATATTGAATATTATTTTTCATATCCTTCAGTATCAACAATCGCGTTTCACTGTTGGAGGAAATTTTGGAACAGTTAGTTACCAATATGGATGCCATATTGAAGCGTGTGGAGAGTGAAATTAAGAAAAACAAATAATTTTTATCTATGGAATTTATGTATTTTATTAGTTTGTTTTATTAGTTCAAATAAATTTTAGGCTCGTTGAGTAAACATTAAAATAAGTAAGAATTAATTAAGTTCCACTCGCTGAGCGGCAGCGGCAACGTCAGCCAAGCGAAGAAGCCACAAAAACCTGCGCTAATCTCTGCCAAATCTGCCCTAACGGGAGTTTCAAAGCATTGCCACCTAATGTATATTTAGTTGGAGCACAGGATGTGGACCGGCGTGCCAAAAGGACATGTGGCAAGCGCGCGGGGCGCATCATTTAGTATCTGGCATTTAGGACCAGGTTGCTGGGACTAGGATACAAACACTTCTAGCCACCATGTTGCGGTTGCGGCACGTGTGTGGCAAGCAGTAACATCTGTGGGTGGCAGAATTATGAAACAATTTGTACATACTGCATTTAAACATGTAACTAAAGTAATGAAGAAAAATCACAAGAATATTGAAATTGTTAAAAATGTTAAAACACGCCAACTTCAAGTTAACAGAAATCCAAATGCTATTCAACTACAGTTAAAGCATTACAAATAGGCAATACTCAAACTTTTTACATATGAAATAGATTTTACTTAACAGGCTCGTACACTCGTATTATTTCACTTTTGTAAATACAAATACAAAATACAAATTGAAAAGTTGCCATCGAGGCCCCAGCATGGAACAGCTATGTAAATACGAAAGCGAGCAGAGAACTGAAGCAGACAGATTGCGCTGGCAGCAGTGCCACCGTTGCCGTTGCCGTTGCCATTGCCGTCAATTGCCACTTGAAAAGGCGCCAATTGCCACGGGATAACTAGCGGGCGGCAGTGCGGGTGGCAATGCCATAATTACTTACCTTTATGCTTTATGCATGCACAGAAAAATGTTAAAATGTTGCTGCTCATGATCATAATCACGATAGAGATGGCGATGATGATGCTGGGCAGTTGGCAGCGGGCCAGCTGAAATGGCACTGCCTACTCTGCCAGCCACGCCCATAATGTACAAATATGTTGGCCTCTTGTGCATTCAATGGGCCTGCAATTCGCCCAAACAACAGCAGCGAAACGAAAGCGAGAAAAAAAATCCAAAATTCTACATAACCGAGTAAAAAATGCCCTGCTCAGAGCGAGGCATAACATTGAAGCTCTCAACACTTAAATAAGTTCACACACACGCAGATGAAGGTACTTATGCAGCAACTGTGCTTCTTCTTCTATATACTTGCTCCTCTTCTCTCCCAGCTCCGCCTCTGCCCGCCATACATTATACCCCATGCCGATCGTATGCGCTGAGCACAGGGTATACGAATATTCGTTAAGTGCCTGCACACAAGCGAAAGCAAAATGAAATTGACGCGTAAATATTAAAACAGGTAAATAAAAAATGAAATGGCAAAAATTACAACTGCTTTTCTGCTATTTGCACACAACATAAACCAACAGAGCTTTAAAGATATCAATTCTATTAAATATGTGTACTTACACATATCACACACACACACACATAGGATTGAGCAATACTGAGTCTACAACAAATACCTTTACTTATTTGGAACTGTAACTTTGATTCGTTTTGCAATGCTCATCATCCTCTGAGTTACCTATAATATCTTGTGTTGCACTGATCGTCGCGTTTTATTTAAAATTCTTATACTGTATCCTATAATTATTGCCATGGTTTCCCACGGCACTTAATTGGAGCATAGGGCATATAGGGCACTCGCTGAATTGACGTCGTAAATTGCTCAATGCTTGAAGAGGTCAGAAGCTCGCCATCACTTGAAGAGGCCAGAAGGTAACCGTCAATAACCTGTTCAGCTTACACATTTTTCCGAGGGCCGGAATGCATCATTTCAGGGATCTTCTTTCTTAGAACAATCCTTACAGACGTTCATTCATGATGAAGAGTAAACACTCCATCTGATCTTTTCTCTTCAGCTGTATAGCTTGACTCACTGTAAAAAATCGCTAAATCTAGCTCTGATATAGTAAATAACCTAAAATTGGTTAAAGCTCTAAGTTTGATAATGGTTAGAGCTCTATACCCTTTGCTTAGTATATATCAACGAATGTTTGATGGTCACTTGAGTAATAACTAAATATAGTTCACATTAAAGATATATCAATGAAGCTGCTGCTTAAACACAGTACAGCGCCAAGCAATATGTGGCTGTCTTATAAAGATAACATCAGAAAATGATAAACACAATGATGTGGAGTGATAGGAAATACATGATACCTGTCTATACTTTTTATTTTGCCTTACAAAATAATAATAAGTTAAGTAACAAGGAAAAGAGAAAAGACGAAATAGTCAAAAAATTCTATTGATCATTTTAAGAAGCTAAACAACTATTAATCACTCGAACTTTCTTTTATTTTTTTCATAAGCAGATGAAAATGTCAAAGTTGCTTAAAGTTCAAGCAAAGATTTAAGCGCAGCGCCTAACTCTGTTAAGTTAACAGATCTCTCAGCTTAAGCAAGTATTCTCACTCCACTCCACTCACTTCCACTCACTCCCAAATACTTATACAAATGTTAACATCTTATATTTGTCCCTTGTATAAGACTGTTAAGCTTTAATATGTCGACTTAAAAGCAAAACGTTTAAGCTGCGTGCGCTTTAACAGAAATCTGTTAAAGGCCAAATTTCAATGAGGCAGCATAAAAACAATTTAAGCAGCTTAGCGACCGCTGATTTTTCAACGGCAAAATAAAAAAATGTATGCAACAGGACAAAAGGATAATGCGTAATTAACTGGCCATAAGTTAACCTTTAATTAAACGCACAACTCATTACCAGCAAAGAGATATTAATCAAGCGTATTTTTTATGCTTACACAACAGTTTATTAACTTTGTCATCGCGTCCAATACGACAACACTTATCAAACAAAGCATAAAATGTAATGAGCGCATTTATCCAGGTAAATATTTGTCAACTATTCAGCAACTAACAGCGTTCAGTTCATTCGAAAGCATCGTGCGGAGCGGAACAAAGTGGAAGTGGAACTGTTTCTTTTTCGATTTATTGATTCAAGCTCTAATCTGTTTTCTTAAAACATAAATTAATTGCCAAACTATCACTAAAGCATTATCAAATCAAAGTTATATTATTAATAATACAACAACAAAATATATATATTGACTCATCCAAATAGCTCGTAAAACTGGAACTAAAACTGAACCCAATATAATTAGATAGCTTAAATATCTGACTAGAGAATTCACAACTTGGAATTATCAACACTGACTGAATACTACAACATTGAATAGGCACAATGCCAATCGGGAAACATCGTAAGGAGCAGAGTCAAGTGCACAAGGAAGAGTCATTATTCCATAGGACAGTTTATTTCTTGAGTCGCGTTCTGTATCGTATTTGCCGTCTCTGTGCTTTTGGATACTTTAAGTACAATCCGGAAACAAATAAATTGTATATCTGTCGGCATGAATGCTTTAAGAAGTACTTCACTTGGGTAGTTAAAATATTACTAATACTTATAGATTATGTAAGCTATGTTTATATGATAATTAACATTGTTGCTCATTACTGTCATGACATCTCGATAGTTGCTAACGGATATCATTTCTTCCTTGAAACCATAATTTATACCAATGTTCACTGGCAGCTACTGAAACTGATGATCTTCCTGCACAGCTGGAAAACAAATGAGTCCTTTGTTTCTGCGATCAACAAGGTATTCGAAATACATCAAAATATGATTTCATCTTTTAAAAAGACCTATTTCACAATTGAATATAATATACTTCTGATATCTTTTCTCGAATTGGGGCTCACTTTTGTTCAATTGTTGAATCAAATAATGAGATTTTCCGATATGTTGCTTGCTTTTAAATATCGCATAATTTTATTTGAGCTTATTTATTGGGCCTACTTCTTGTACCAGTTGATTCTTATCACCTGGCATCAGGTATTGCTAACTTCTATCAAAAGTTGTAATAGTAGAAAGAGAAATCGGAAGCGTCTAATTCTAATATATAGAATGTACTTTCGAATATGCGAAGTCCACGGCGAGGTTACACACCTCTGGTTAAGCATCTCGGGTGCCCTTTTCAACTGCATATCCATGTTATCCGCAGACATTTCGGAAGAGTTGTATGACGTCCTCTATCAAGAAAAGAGCACAGCGGAGAAATGGAAATTTTTCCTTTATTTAAAAGTTGGAAATTGCGTAGCCCCATTACTGAAAGTTTTCCTCTTGGGTCTATGTACTAATCGAATAGAGCATTTAACCCGACTTCTGAGTCAACAAATCTATATAATCGAACTGCTTCACTTGACGAAGTGTGAAAGACTTGAATCCAATCAACTAACTGTATTTACGAAAGCGCTGGATTGTCAGGTAAGCAAACAGAGTAGGACAATCAGATCAGATCAGAGTTAACATTTCCATTTACAGTTCAATTGCTTCTGCCTACAGCAACACACCTGTCCTATCAGAAATCATATCTGGCACAAGGGACAAACTATCAACATTGAATTTCTTCTATTATTTATGTGGATCGCTTTCCTGAATGCAATGTCCAATTTACAGTACGCTCTAGCAGAGAAAAGACCTTCCAATTACTTTTATTGATTTGCAAATGCAAAAACTGTAAACAGTACGCAATATGATTATTATTTATAACTGGAGTTTGTGTTGAAAATGACTCAATTAAATATAAAAATGTGTACAAATTTGCCATAATTTTAAATTAATAATTTTAAAATAATAAATATGGGCTATAAGGCCCTTTTATATTCAGATATTTCAGTCGAAAAGTTAAAAAAATCATCTTATATCTGAGTGAAATATTTTTACATTTAAAAAATATTTTTTAAGTAGTATTAGTTCTTACTAATAGTTTTTATTCACCGACAAATCTCAACTTTCTGAAAAATATATATATATTTTTTATTGCTTTTTTTATTTGCAATCTGTCTTATACTAGACAATGAACAAATTTGTTATGAAAAATATATTTGAGCAAGTTTTGTTTACCTCTGTCAATTTTTGGTAAATTAAAAATTAAATGAAATAATATCAAGCACCTCTCGCAGAACTATAGATAATTCCAATAGCTGCTGTTCCGCCAACATAAAGATACAGTATTTGAGTCTGAATTCAATTCAATATAATAAATGTACCCAAAACCATAATAAAATATATTATTAGGCATAATTATGGAAATTGTGTTACTAATTATTGTTAATATATTCCACCCATGACTCACTCATCGAAACAGATTACGGAACTGGAACTGGAACTGGAACTGACACCCAACACAATCGAGTTAGTTGGTCTCAATTCAATTCGTCTTAAGCATTCGAGTTGAGTGGAAGGCACGGGATTCGACAAGTTGGCGCGTTTACCAACACTATCCAATTTGTTATCCAACACTAAAACATTGAAGAGAAGGAGGAGCCACCTCAATATTTACAAATAATGACAGCTCGGTTAAATCGAAAACATCGTGAGCAGCAGAGTCGAGTGTACAGTGAAGAGATATTATTCCACAGGACAGTTTATGTCTTAAGTCGCATTCTATATCAAATTTGCCGTTCTTGTACTTTTGGATACTTTAATTATAACCCGGAGACAAACAAATTATATATTTGCCGTCATGAAAATTTAAAGAAATACTTCACCTATGCTGTCAAAGCAATGTTATTATTTATGGATTATCTTAATTATTTATATGTGGAGGTCAAATTTGAAGCTTACATTTTTCATGACTGCGACTTAGTTAGTTCCGGATATAGTTTTTATCTAGAAGTCTTAAATTACATAAATGTGAACTGGCACTTTACGAAAATTATAGTCCTCCTGCATAGCTGGAAAACTAATGAGTCCTTTGTTTCTACGATCAACAAGATTTTAGAAATACATCAAAATATGATTTCATCTTTTAATAAGACCTGTTTCACATTTGATTACAATATACTTCTGATATCGTCATTGGAGTTTTCGTTCACAGTTGTTCAATTGTGGAATCAAATAATGAGAAAGAAACATTTTCTTGTGTTGAAGTACCGCATAATCTTATTTGAGTTCATTTATTGGGCGTACTTCCTATACCAGCTAATCCTTATCACCTGGCATCAGGTATTGCTAAGTTCCATCAGTAGTTGTAATTGTAGAAAGAGAAATTGTAAACGACTAATTAAAATATATAAAATATACTTTCGAATATGCGAAGTCCACGGCGAAATTACACAGCTCTGGTTAGGCATCTCGGGTGGCCTTTTCGCCTGTATATCCCTGTTATCCGCAGACATTTCGGAGGAGTTATATGACGTCATCTACCAGGAAAAGAGCACAGCGGAGAAATGGAAATTTTTCCTTTATTTAAAAGTAGGAAATTGCGTAGCCCCATTACTGAAAGTTTTCCTCTTGGGTCTATGCACCAATCGAATCGAGTATCTAACCAAATTCCTGAGTCAGCAAATCTATATAATCGAACTGCTTGAATCGGGCCAACAAAATGCATATACGAAAGTGCTGGATTGCCAGGTAAGGAAACATACATCAGGATCAGATCAGTTAACATTTCATACCATTTACAGTTCGACTGCTTCTGTCTACAGCAGCACTTCTGTCCGATCAGAAATCATATCTGGCACAAGGGGCAAAGTATCAATATTGAATTTCTTCTATTATTTATGTGGATCGCTTTTCTGAATGCAATGTCCAATTTGCAATATGCTCTAACGGAGGAGAATGGTATAAATCATTTTTATTAATTTAGTAAAAGGCTTGTAACCCGCTCATATAAAAATATATGTATGTACAAATCTATCAAAATAATTTAAAGCAAGTAAGAGCTCTCGAGTCGAGAGTGCCCGACTAGGAAATACCCTGAACTCGGTGCAGGGTATCAAAGCCATATCTGTCGACGCTTCTTTAATGGGGTTGATCCAAGCCGCTAATTGATTTTATTATTAGGCATAATTATGGAAATTATGTTGCTCATTATTGCCAACATTTTTCATCACACCACTCGCTCATCCAGTTAGTTCAGGGGAACTAAAACTGGAGCCGAAGCGCACTCCATCAAATTAGTTCGTCTCGATGGAGCGTTTGGAACGGTTTCTACACGAAGCAAGTATTTTAGTTTTGAGTAATTCAGTTTACTTTAGCTGTCGCTTCGCTGGCCTCGGTCACTTTAAGTACGATTCCCGAGCTGGAAAGCTGCGCACGGATAAGAATTATAGAATATTTCAATGGGTCGTTAAGATCTGTTTACTGTGCATAGATAATTACAATTTAGTTGGCCTAGTTTCCTGTACCTTCATGATGATGGAGTGGCCTTTCGACTCAAAACGTGAAGGCTTTGAGGCGTATTTGCTCACTTGGACGTGGTGGACGCAAAACTGGCTGCTCCTGCGTCTCTTTCGGCTAACGCACAGTCGACAGTACAGTAAAGCTTGCCAGCTAACGATTAACAATATAATAAAACTAAACAAAACTGTGCATTTGTGCTTTGGCCGCTGGACCCTAAGGACACAACTCCATATACTACTGCTCTATCATCTACAATATGCTTTAACTACGCTGCAATTCAGAAACATTTGGGATCAGCCCTGGTGCCATACGTACATTATACTCCTACTCGAGGTGCCCTTTTGCGCCTACTTTGTCTATCAGCTGCTGTTGATGGCATGGCTGGGAGCTCTGCTCACTAACTTAAGCACATACTATCTGAATCCTCGACTGGGACTCTTTCCAAGTTCTCAGTCGCGTCGTCAGCTAATACAATTCTATCGCGTTTACATCAGCATTAATAGCGTCCAACAAAGAGTTCACAAGCTCTGGCTGCGAGTATCTGTCGTGCTGTTTGTCTTGTTGCTTCAGCAAACCCAAGAGCTGGCCTCCAATCTGTATAACATGATCTATCATCAGCCCATAAATCAAAAGATCGAATATGAATGCTGTGTTGCGCCAGTGCTAAAAATATTTCTGCTCGCCGTCTGCAATAAACGCATCAAAATGCTCAAACAGCAGCTGCGGGAGCATCTTTTTCGCACTGAGTTTCTGCATTGGCATTGGTTCGCATCTGGTGTGCAATCAGCTGTGGGCATACCATTTGCCAAGATCTTAAGTCGCAAGGTGAGGTAAGGTATGCCATAAGCTGAGGGAATATCCCTAATGTTTTACGCTCTTTACTCTTTACAGAATTATTGCTTTTATCTACAGCAGCTGGTGGAAACGATGGAAACTTTCAATGGGAAAACGAGATATAATACAAATTTTAAATTTCTCTTCCTGTTTATATCCATTTTGTATATGGTATTTTATTTTAAAAATATCTATTAAAAAATACTTTTTTTATGCACAAAATGCTTATAGTCTGAGCAGCGTAGCGCAAAAATATTCGTATTATATTTAATAAATGTTCCTAATTCAAAAGGGAATCAATTTTTAAGAAATATATAATCGTAAATTACGAAATATATATATCGAGTAATGAAAAAGTAGAAGAATTGACTGTGTGGTTTGGAAAATTTTTCACATCTATTTCATAGTAAAAATGTGTACAAATAATTTAAATATATAGAACCAATTCACTTTGGAAGAATATAATCACATTATACCTTGACTAAAGTCTTGAGATGGCAGAGTATCGAATCGAAAGCTACCCGAAAATGACTTACCTGTAGCTTGGCCCACTTTCCTTCAGCGTATATATGAAATTTGATAAATAATCTTTTAAAATTAAGTACCAAATCAACTTATGGTCAAAAAACTACTAAATTCATGAGAAGATTTGATATGTGTGCGTTGGGCTTCGCCCCATGAAGGTGAACATAATTTATAGGTACATGGATATAAATAGATATGTGGATATATATATTCCAATATATTCAAATATAATGATTCCAATATTGCCATATATTAGCTTCATATATTTTTATGACGTTACTCTATCTGATTATTCATTTTCAGCTTCAAATTTGTAGCTCAAATAGCGCTTAAAATGTAAAGCTATTGAATCGGTAGACTATCTACAGCTTCACGATTAGTCACCAGCAAATTGAGGTAAATGCAAACATTTTTGAATCGATATAAATCAATGAGGCCATACAAAACAAGCTAACTAAAAAAGCATTTGGATACTTCTGAAATATGCTTTCTTAGCTTTCCAGTCCATAACCCAAATCTTATTGGAATATATTCTGTAAAATCTTACATATTCAGAGTTCTGCTTTAACATTCAAGTTTCTGTAAGATTCAGAATCATTTCTGTAAAGCTAACTTGGAAGTTAACAGCCCTGTTATGCTCATAAATAAAAATGCTTATAAATGTATATATGTAGATATATGTATGTTTTTGCTGTTTTGATATATATTTTGAATCAATAAATATATTAGCATGCATGTATGGGATGCATTTAATACTCGTACTTACTGCAGATATTGATAATAATTTAATGGGCGCTCTTTCAACTCTCTTAAGGTATTTCGATGCACTTAGGGCATGTTTTGAATTATATTCGAGCAATGAAAATGAATGCTTACAGTTCTAAAACACTTAAGATTAGGCAACTAAGCTAGCTGTGCTGCGGCGTTTACTTCATCAGCGTCGTCGGCGTTGGCGGCAACAAAGATAATTTCTCAAACTTGGGCATCGCTCGGCCAGCTGCGGGCAAGTCAATTAGCTCGGCATCTGGATTATACGGATAGTTGGGATTGGCGGCAGCTATATCGTTAACGGCAATATCATTGGAGAGATCCACGGGCGCAAGGTTCTCGTAGATGTCAATGTGATTATTTAAATCGTTGTCGGGATCTGCAGCTGCAAAAGTTGCGGCATCCTCATCCAGTGTCGCCCATTCATCGTTAAAGGTGTCGCTCATCTCAACGGGCGTCGCATGCTCATCTTCGTCGTCTGAGGACTCCAGCTCCTCGCGCTCCCTGTACTGCTGCGCTGATTGTGGCGCGGCCAACTCGTCGTCCAATGCGTCGCCAAAGTTTTCAATGGCCACCAAGGACTCGGGCTGCGACGCATTATGACTGTCGCTGTCTGGCAGCGGCATTTCCGTTTCCTCATTATGCGCCATTGTGTCGGCATCTTGAGCTTCGGCCAGCTGCTGCTCCACCTCCAACTCCAGCTCCTGTTGCTGTTGCTGCTCCTCCTGTTTCAATTCAGCCATTGGCTCGGCCATTATGGTTTGCACAGTCTGTTTGATGTCTGTGGCGTCTGTGAGGGTATCCAATGCGGCGTCTTCTGCAGAGGCAACTGTGCTTGTGGCTGTAGTTTCTTTTGTTCTTGTGCTCTGTGTTTAATGAGTGGCGGGTGCATCAATGTGCGTAGGTGAATATAGGTGTGTGCGTGTGTGTGTGTAAATAAATGGAATAAAAGTTTGTATTACTTTAGAGTTTGCCAATTATGTGAATAGTTTTAGTACAAGCAGTCGCTGCATGCAAATTTGAAATTTAAGCACAAATAGAATAACAAGATTATTAAAGCAGAAGTAAAAGCTTACAGCACAAGCCGTGTTCTATTAGCTACGCAAGATCGCACTAAAGCGCTGTTAAGCACAGCTTCGTCTTTTATACATATAATAAAATGCTACGCACAGCTGACTCATACGTGAGTAACTATTCAGCTGCGCTTTAACTCAGGTGAAGGCAGAAAGAGCGAGACAGAGAGAGCCGTTGAGCTGAACATCTTTCTGTTACTCAACAGGTTTTCTAAGCAGCGCTTTATTTCCTTTCTGTTAACATACGCTGTTAATTACGCTCACTCGCTCTTACTTTAGCAGAACATTGTTCGCTCACTCAATTGGTTTTCTAAGAAGCGCTTGATTGCCTCTTTCTGTTAACATACGCTGTTAATTGCGCTCACTCGCTCTCACTCTCGCTTTTGACATTCTACGTAGCGTTCATTAACATTTCAGCTTAATATGCATTGGATCACGCATGATTCACCTTCGGTCTGATAACAATTCGTTGAATTCTATTTATATACACCTTGCCAAATAGAAATTAGCATGCAAAGAGCTAAGCGCCCCCGGCTTGTCATTCATGCGATTTTGTTGGTCACTCGGTCGAGATCGCTGTAACCGCGACGTCACAAGTTCATTTATTATTATTATTGCAAATGACAGCTGTCCCCACCTGATCAACAAACATGTATGTATATATGTATGTCTAACAACTTTTAGTGTGGCTGCAATTGTGCAAATTCGCAGAAATTTGTATTAATAATACAAAATGCGCATTAGCTGCTACAATGCTGAGTTTATTTTTATTTGCGACGCTCACTTAAGTTTTTTGGACGAATCTTATTATATAACTGGTTGCCGGGCAGGGTTAAACAAGCAAACAAATATAACCTACAGCAGATGCTCGGTCGCTTAGCGAACGGCAGGGTTGAGTCACGTTTCTTAACGATTGTTTCCGGGGAAATTCTTGAGAATTTTGCTTGTGCTGGCGCTTGATCTCAGGAATATCCTAAGCAAATTTGTTGACTAATTGCAATGTGCAAATGTGCGAGTATTTTTTTAAAGAATACACATCATTATATAAATTTAAAATAAAAATAAGAAAAGTTGCTTAAAAACATATATTAAATTAATTTTTTTCAATTTCTTTCTTATCTATTTATCTATCTAACTTTTGAATAAGCAAATTATTTAATTAAATATATATTTCTTTTTATTTATTATAATAATAAAAATTTAATATATATATTTTTATATTATATTTTTATTTTTTATTATATAATTTTATATTTTATATCATTTTTTATATTTATTTAAAATAAATTCAAATTTTATAAATCTGTTTTTATTTATTTAATATCAATTTATTGTAATGAAGTTTTTTATGGCCAAAAATTTTTGTTTAATTAATCCATTTTCCATAATTTCTTATCAGTTTAACATTGTTAATTTGTAGTAAACATTTTCATTACAGTTTGCACCTTTGAGTTTTGAGCAGTCTTTTAAGCAGCAGGAGAACTTAAGCAATTTATGACCAATTTTGATATGGAGCACTGTTCGTGGGGCGACAGCCCCTGCTCCACACTCGTATGGAAAATTGTTCGCAGTTTAACGCTCTATTTTACGCTGCATATTTGATGTGTGTTGTGCAGAGTTCACAGTTCACACAGCTCTCGCTGCTGTTTTGCTCATTTCACGCACACTTTGTAGCACGCACACTGCTTCAGGGCCCGTACGCCCATACGTAAACTCCCCTTAGTTTTAAATAGCACATAAAAAATAGAGGCGGGCACATAACAAATTGAAATGCAAGTGCACAAAGTAATTTTTACAAAGTTATGAAGGGCTTTCGACATACATATGCAATAAATGCGGTTTAAATATATTTGTGTGTGTGTGTATATATATTATATATATAAATTTGCACAGTTTTTTAATAGGAAAATATTAATAAAATATTGCATACACAAGTACGTCGAGTTTTGGGACTGTTTGTGCCAAGCGACAGGCAAATTGCTTAACAGCCTTCAACAATTTTGCAATATTTCCGCCGGGGGCTTAAAAATATAGCATTGGCAGGTGGGCGGTCGGGTGTATACTTTGTGGGCTACTCTATATTAATATTTATAGCCATGCATTTTACATATATTCCAAATAAATGCATGAACAAAGTTTGGGGTGCCAAAAACCACAGCTTTCAATATCCGCATGAGAGATGGAAACAAATATTAAAAAAATATTTATATATATAGATATTTATATATATATATATTTATAAAACTGCATAAATTGAATGAATTGCGCGACATGTGCCATAGTTTTTACCTATCGACAAAGCGTTTCTCATTGTTGCAACATTTTAAATTTGTTGCAATGTTGACATGTCGCACCTCGGCTTTAAAGCTGTTCATAATTTGCGCATTGCATATTTTCTTTACACTCATTTATTAATTTTGCGCTGATTTATGTCATTATGAAAAAAAAAAAAAAAAAATTAAATACAAAATATGTAACAAGGCGGAAATTTTTGCTAACGGTCATAGTCGACTGCGTAATACTCGCACAGAGTTTTATAAGCATTTATAATCGAAAATAGTCAACAAGCAAAATGATTAAGCTGTGTGCGGGTATTACGCAGTCAACCACTCCCGATAGAAAATTGAAGCCATGTTACATATTTCTTATTCTGTTTTACTTTTTGTAGACTGTTTCGATTTCATCGTTTTAAAGTGAGCTCATATCAATTTGTAATCTTAAGCTGTTCACTCTTATAACTAGATGATCCTTAGTGACACTTTAGATTGCTCTATGGGGAAGGTTCGGTTAATTTAACTTTAAAACATATGTAAGAGCTTAGCCCTTGAGGTTTCCTCCAAGCTTTAGCTCTGCACTAATATACTCCCTTAATTCAGCAAAAGAGTATTAAAAATGAAACAAAAATTAAAAAATAAAGCAAAAAATTGAAATGGCAACACGCAAAATGCTCGCAAGTCGCGTGCTCGTCGAATTCGATACAATAAATTCTCATAAATATAACACGGGCATGGTCACGCCCCCGAGCAGTAGAGAGAAACGCCCAAGACAAGGATTTATGCGCTGGGCGCACATGACTTTTAATATAAATTAATTTTTATTATGGCTAAAAGTAATTAATGGACTTGAAAAACCGCATATATGATGCATGTACCGTTAAATTGTTGCAACAACTGCAACGTGTTGCAAGCTCTGAGCTCAGACGCAATGGCAAAAATACATTTACAAGGACTAAGGACTGGCAATCGTGTTGCAAAATTAATTGAGTTAAAGAATTGCCTTTAAAACAATGTCTAAGCTGATTAAATTAACAGATGTAAATATATGTATATATGATGTATGTATATGTATATAAAATGTAAAGAACAATTAAAGAGCTTTCGATATTTATTAAAGTTTAATTGGGCTGAGCAAAATGTTATTTAGCTAAATTAAAAATCAAAGTTCATTGAAAGCCTATTTCATATTTTAAAATGTTACTTAATGAACTGAATAATTTAAATAGAAAATATTTTTAAAAAACGCATCACAATTATGCAAATACTTCGTGCATAGTTTATACCACAGACTGCAAATGCGCTTTTCTATATAAAATTAGAAAATGGAAGCTCATTTACGTTTTTTATCCTAATATATCATTCAATATATACACTTTGTTTTTATGCACCCCGTTGACACATAATTAAAAAATATATAATTTGTTTACATTATTAATTTTGGCGCAGTAAAGTCAATCAGAAAGCCAACATAACAAACCAAAAAAAAAACGTAATTCTCATACATCTAATTCAAATATATGAATATAACAAAATTAAACATGAGCTAATCAAATGTTACAGACTACAAGATACCCAATAAACTGAGGGCAATAACCGATAATTTAAAAAATATATAAGAAAGGCGATTAAAAGCCATCTAATAGTCGAGTCAATTGAAAATTTTGATAATATCACACAGGCTTGTGCAGTTATACAATAATTAATATAGGAAACATACAGCTCACAGACATTTTTGTTAAATATCTAAAACGCTGAATGTATCACTAAATAAGTTTGCCAATTGATATTTATCGATATTTGTTATGAATGCATGAACATAAGGGGAACAATAATTTATATCACAAATCCATTTCTCTCTCATTTTACCCAACTAACTCAAATAGAGTTTCCATAGAATTGCGAAAAAATAAAAGTAGAAAATCTAATTGCACAATTAAACATTTTGTCGTGTTAATAAAATATTTATGAATGCGGTTGGCTGACAGTTTATTGACCAGGCAAATAAACAAAACTTAATTATGGTTTCAGCAGCAGCAGTAGAACAACAAAAAATGGAAACAATTGAAAATTAAAAATAAATAAATTGCATAAAAACCAAATGCAAATGTGAACGTAAAATTAAAGCTAAAAATTTTTGATTGAAATTTAAATTAAAATTATGAATATATAGAAAAACCCACAGCCGAAACCCGCCACAAACCAGTTGCCTTAAGATTAGTCTTATTAGTTGCAAAATATAAGCAGGCACGTAAAACAACTTGGATAACTCTTAGTTAAAACTGTTCTATAGATATATACAATTTTATATTTTTAGTTTCTTTTATGCAAAAACTTTATTTGAAAAAAAAATGTTAGAAATTTTTCTTGTATATACATGACAAGTTTACATAGTTGGCTCAATATACATGTTGTTTATATATTATATATACAGATATATATATATATATATATATATATATATATATAGTATGGTATATAGTCGGTTAGTAGAGCGCTACGCATTTTTTTTATTTAATTTTTTATTATATATTTATTGGCAAGGCATTTTGCAAACATTTCCTGGTTAGATTTGTTTTTTTTAGTTGCTTGGAAATGCTGTTAAAAGCTTTTATACCTGAGGCTCATCGATGTCGCGCACCTCATTGTCCTTGGGCTGCTTCTCGAGCGGCTCGCGGCGATCGTTGTCGTCGTCCAAGTCCTCCAATTCGCTGCGTGTCGCTGGCGCCGATGTACTGGGCGAACTTACCGGCTTCAAATCGCCATTATTGTTGATGACGCCCTCGACTACCTCCTCGCCGCTCTCCAACGGACGGACATTCACCAAACGCACCTTGAAAAGACTGTTCGTGTCGCCGTAGACGGTCTCGTTGATCTCCACCTTGTGACCATCGACCACCTTTTATATTGTAAATGCATTTGAAAATTCGAACAGTTCTGTAACACTTTGATCTTGGCTCACCTTAACCGTCGATGTGGTATTGCCATTCTTGGTATTCAGCGGTGTTAGCGGTCGCAGACCAAAGCCAAGGGGTGTAAGTGACTCAGCCGAGTCGCCTGCGCCAGAGCCAGCCGCCGAATCATCCTCATCTACGGCAATGGGCCAGAGACGAGCGCGCAGACGGCGGAAAATGTCTGCAAAATGGGAATGCATAAAAAATGTTGTTGTCTGTGGTATAATTTAACGCGAAAAGAGGCAAAAAAAAATAAATGTGCGGGAAGGCGAGTATGCTCGACGCTCTCATACTCTGCACAGGGAAGAAGTGTGACCCTTCGAATAGAATAATGCAATTCCTATAAGAAAAAATCTTTTTTTATATGACTATCGATAATTATCGATTTGATTAATCTGCAGAAAATATTGTTTAATATACGTTTGACTGCTTCCAGCTTAAAAAATATATACTTATATATGAAACTGTATAGTATGCAACCTATATTACAATAGCTTAACTTTAAATGAAACAAAACTCAACATTTATGTGAAAACCAGAAATGGAAATGAATATTTATCAATCAATTCATATTTATCGAAAATATCCCAAGCAAACTTCATTCTTGATTCTTACGTCGATTAAAAAGATATGATAAATATGAGCTATATTTGCCCATGTTTCATTTAACCGCTTTATGATACCCCTTTTTGGATAATTTAAGCTAGAGGGTGTAATAATAATAGAAAGGCCACTGTCAAATTGAAATAGCTGTGCTTACGAGAGCAGCTACAAAGGCGAATCGCTCTGGGAACTAGCGCAGGTGTTGCAAAGTGCCAAAAATGTCATCTGGAATCGACTTGGCTGCAGTTGTTGTTGTTGTAGCTATTGCTGTTGCCATCTCTTTGATGACGCCCAGACGGTAGACGCCTTTTGCCTAGCTAATGCGTTTTTCTGTTTAAATTCCCTAATCCGTAAACGCACTAAAGAAAATAAAAGAAGCGTTTTCTGTGTCGCCGTCTGCTTGTTACCTAATCCTCTTTGCCCCCATACCAGCGTCAACCATCTGTCTAACCATCTACTGTAACAGTTCCCACTCTTTCTCTGCTCAACATTTTTCTCCCCCCCTTGTCGTCAACCTTGTCATAAATACTTGACCGCATTGTTTGCCTGGCTTTGGCATGTGGCTCATTCATTTGTTTGTTGCATTCTAATGAGTTTAAAGTGTACCTCAAATAGCTGACCAGCCAAATGCTTGACATCGTTCTACAAACGAAGACCTCTGAACTTTGTTGAAGGTTCTTTAGATACTTGAAGTTGCGAAAAGAGATAACTTGAATATATTTCAACAATTGGCTTAAAGTGTGAAATTGTTAAATACAATTTTATAAATGTTTGCAAAATTACCGCTATGGTAAGAGGATTAAATGTAATTAAATCAATTTTGTTATATTATTTTAATGTTAAGCAAATGTCAACGATTTCAGTTTAATTTATCTAACAGTTAGCTTAACTAACAGTCGAAATGTCAGAGCCAAGCCACCGCAAGCATCTCAAGAAATCCTTAAACAGATTATCTTTTCATTAAGTGTGCTCATAAATGCCACACTCTTTCTCTCAGTGTTGCATAGCTATGGACAGCAGAGGAGTTTCTGCCAGTGTTGCTGTTATTCACTTGTTATCTTTGAAGCTGATGCCGAATAAAAGTTTTCTGCATATAAAACGAGCCATTGGCTTAAGAACTTTTGTCAGCGTATTAGTTAGCAAAAGATTTATGAAGTTTTGGCCACTTCTTCATCCTTAGTTAAGAGCCGGGCATTTTATAAATGTTTTTTCTCTATGCTGGCTGCTGTTGTTGTTATTGTTGTTGTTGTTGTTATTTTTTTTTTGTACCGCCCGAAGGCTCAAACTTTTCACTTTTAATGGTCAGCAGAGTTTTGTGACCCAGCACATGCATATCAATATAAATATATATAGAGAAATGAAGACAAGTACAAGGCATAAACTTTGTCTGGCCCATACAGCATTTTTGACATAATATTTTGATAAATTGTTTACATTTTTCCAGTACCCGCGTCAAGTTTATCTGTGCGGCATACTTTGAGCTCTCACTTAAGCTGAACGAGGAGCTGGTGTGGCAGAACTTGTGGCCAGTCAGTGAAAACTAACTAGCTGGCTTAAGTGGCCGAATTTGTATAATGCTTACAATATTAGAGAGAGTTTTAATTTGTTTAATCTGTTAAAAAATGTAAGTGTCAAATTTTGAGTATCTGACAATAACTTTTAACAATAAGGAGTATGACTATGATTTTCACATATCAATAAATATTTTGAAAATATTTTTTTTAGGTATATAACGATCAAAAATTAAATTAAATTAAACTGCCAAAGATTTCTCGAAATTTCTTGAAGAATTCTGCATTTTCCAATACAAAGGTCAGATGTCTAAAAAGTTCTTGCTGTTTATCTCCGAGTTTTTTCTTACTTTTTACAAATTGACTTTGATGTCTTGCTACTGAATGGAGCACATTGTAAAAAACTCTCATCATGTAATAACCATAATAATGAAATGGGCATTAAGTGCATGCCGTACTTTGTAATTATCTGCATCTGAGGTCAGGGCATCACCAAGTAATTGTAACATAAAATTGTAATTAAACTCAACTGTAATTGCACATGCGTCACGTGGCAGCCACAACAACAGCGACAACAACAAGACACAAAACTGAAAAACTTACCATCAAAGGAATTGACAATGCCGAAGTTAAAGTGGAAAGCAGATGGATCCGATTGCAGGAACGGATTGCCAGCGCCCGTATCGATTACGCCCTTAAAGTCCCGGAAAGTTGGATCTTTCGATTCGGGCTGGGCTTGCGGTAGGCGAATCACCTCCACATCATCCTGCGGACTGTTGCGTGCTGCAAGCAGAATGAAAATAAGAATCAGAATAAAAATAGAAATAAAAATAAATATTGCTGCTCATTATAATTAAAAGCATAGTTAAGACGGGCCCCGCCCACTCATAAATTAGCCGCCCGAGCTGCCGCGAAATAAGCCAAATCAGCAAATTCGTAAGCAGAAACCGCAGAACACAGCGAATCCTAGAGTTGTTCTCTCCGCTCTCGACCCTTTGTGCTAATCATTTAGTGGCCTCATTAGCGTTTATTAGAGTTTTCATTTTGCATATTTTGTGGCGCCGCGCAGGTTGTCTATAGAAAAATATCTTGACTGCCTTCGCTGACCTTCTGAATGTCGAGTTCCTTTGACTTGGCTGGCACAGAAATGCTGATGAGAGCTCTTTATAAAATAATTCAGAAATATGAAGAGCCGGACAACATTCTCTCAAAGATAGTTAAAGTTTTCCTCGATTTGCTAAATTTTTATTAAATTATTTATTTTTAAAAGTTTTTCTAAGTCGACAATTATCAAAAGGCATTTTTTAAAAATAATTCCTTTTATATATATTTTGGCTTTAGTATAGTTCTCTCCTAAATATATGTATCTGATACGAAAAATAATTAGTTTTTCTTCAGTGTTTGACATATAGAATATTAATAGTTAACGATAAATGTTTTTTTTTTCAATTATATCAATTTTTTTCAAAATTCGTCTTTAAAAAATCGATAAGTTTCCATTGAGTTTCGATAACATTTATAATATCTTATTTAGATATAATTAATCACCCCATGAAAAAAGCACTGTAAAGTATAATTCCGCATAATTTCCTTAAATCGATATATATCGATACACAAGAAATTTTAAAGATTAGAAGAAACGTATTTGTTGCTTATATATAATTTTGCTTTAATTTTCAGCGAATGAGCAGCGTTTCTTGGACTTGTTCATGAAGACTCCATTTGAAATACCAGAAAATCGCTTACTATCTTAGAACTCGACCTTCCTTCCATAACCCATATACTACAGTCGTTGAGTGCTCTGGTTAAATAAACAACTGCTTGCAACTGCTGCCACAGTTTGCATTCTTTCAGACGGCTTTCCGTTTCGGCTCATAGATAAATCTCTCCGTTTCCCCCGGCCATGTGGCACTTCATAAATCTCAGCAGCTGAGACTGACATACAACAAGTGGCAGCAGCAGCAGCAAAACACGAAAGAAGGAAAAAAACTAACGACGTTAAAAATAAGTCGAGCCAAGACTTGACTTGGCATGAAATGCGATATATGAGAGATTTACATGCTGCGTAAAATGCGTACGTAAAATGCTGAATGTACGTGACCCCCTGAACGCAAAGACCCCCTTTTCCATATGCGCCAGAGGAGGTCACAAAACGAATGCACTTCTGTTCATTTTTTTAAGCCGATTTATAAGTAAAACACACGGCACTCGCAATATGTTTGGCTTAAAGTGAAGAGCAACAAAAAATAGGGGGGGGGGGGTGAGAAGGGGGTCAGAACGGCGTCTCTGGTTGTTGTTGCATGTTGACGAAACAGAAACATAAACAAAATGTGGGCTGGGGTCACATATATGAATGTCATTTACAAGTGCAAATATTTACCTTTTATGGCGCATACGAAAGTGGGCTACAACCAGGCAAATATGCAGCATGGATATTTATATGCATATGCACTGAAAACAATGGGTATATACGACTGGCAGATGAGCTATAGAGTTGCAAAATTTAAAAAATTCCACTTGCCATCCCAAACTTTTCCATGTTTATCAAGGAAAAAACCAAGTAACTTAAAGCTCACAAATTGTATTATGCAAATGCATTGTTTACATTATTTCTGCCAAGCTAATACGCCACTCTGGCATACTTGGAGTGCCTTCGCAAAGCAGATCAAAAAGTCAGCAACACTGTTGCATATAATATTTCATGGTTTCATGTTGCATACCTGGAGGGGTGCGCTGTTGCTATGGCAGATTTTGCTGCCAACCAAATTGAAACATGTTTGAGTGGGAGGGGCGCTGTTGGGGCTGTGGGGTTTAGCGTGCCAAAGAATTTATGAAAATGAAAATGTGTTGCAGCCAGTGAAATGTTGTGCGGGGTGCAGACACCCACTCAACCAGAAAAAAGGCAAAATAACAGAGTTATTAATCATGCGAATGCTATACAAAAGAGCAGGCGTACCCCTAATGAAAACATCTACATGGCATATTCATTAATTTTCCAATAATTAAGCCTGACCTCTTCCATCTCAACCATCCCCACCTTCACTTCTATTGTTTCCGTTCTTCTGAATTATGAAATTAATAAAGGCAGTTGGCAAAATTTCGCAGCCTCGGCGCTTTTGTTCTAAACACAACGAATTTGTTGCTAATTATGTAAGGTTAGCTGTGCGCCCGATGGGAGGCAGGGGCGGGACTTGTACCCAACAATTTCTGTGTTCTTCTTCTTTTTGCTGACTCGCGCTCAAATAAAATCCGTGAAACAGTTCCTAACTTGGTGCTAATTGCCAGAAGCCTGAACCCGATGCGCCTAAGAATGAAGGCCGCTCCTGGAGGACGATTCATGCGTCCTGTGCGTCAATTAATTAACATAATTGTACAATTTTGCATAATTAACTATGCTGCGATCCGAATTTCTTTTCTTGCTTAAATTTTGGCAGCTCTGTCTTGATTATGATAAAAAAAAATAATAATTGTGAAAAACGCAACTGAATGTATAAGAACTTAAATTAGATTTTAATAATTAAAATAATTTTACAGAACATTATATATTTTATTATTAATTTATAAAAAATTTCCAAGAAAACTAGTCTTAAAATATTTCTCAGTTTATTTTGAGCACTAAATACTACTTGAAAGAATTTAATTGTAGATTAACTTTTATAAAAATATAAAGTTAAGTTTCAGCATCTTGGTAAAACCTGGCATTTTGAATAAATATATTTATTAAATGCTATAAAAAAATTTTTCATTTTAAATTTATAACTTTTATTATTATTATGCAATTTTTATATTATTATATTTCTGCTAGATTATTATTTTATAGTATTTTTATTGTAAGCTTTTTTATTGCAGTCTTTGCTTCCTCCTTCCCCCACGTCAACACTCATAATTCTCCCATTCACTTTCTCAACTTCTTCTTATTATCTTACACTTTGCAAATCTTAATGCTTTCTCACTCAATCATTTAGCAAGTTGTAGCTGGACAAGGCTTTAAGAGATTTACATATTCGAGGCGAACCAACTAAATTGCAACTGCGACAGCCCTCTTCAGCTTTACTCAGCGACCATCATAATTACGTGCCGCACACTCTTTTGTCAGCCTCAGCCATACCCTGCCTTTACAGTTGCCTCTAGGGTATGCAGGGTGGGGCCGGGAGATCTAGCGAAACATCCTGTAACTATTATGCCAACTTTTTACATTAACCAAAGTGCGGGCTATTAAAAATTCATTAATCGCACACAACTAAAAAGCAAAATGGGAAATAAAAAACAAAAAGTCAACAATAGGATAGAACTAGCTAATTCCCTGTAAAAAGTGTGAATATAATCCATATTATGAAATGCTTGAATATTCATTTAAATTTTTTTTTAAAATCGAAAATTATTTTTCATTGAATTTGATATTTTTAGTTTAGTTCAGTTAAGCAAACCAAATTTATTAACATCAGGAATGCAAAATTTTGTTTTTTAATAAATTTATAGAAAACAAAGATGATACATTATATAAAAAAGAAATATTTATAGCACAAATCGGTAAGAAAACTTGAAAAAAAAATCAAAAATTGACTTCTTCAACATTTTACTACTCACCAAATATACCTCATTAGAACCCTCTGCAACTATAGGGTATCTTTAAAAAAAAAAAAGAGCATAGCTAAAAAACTCGCTGGGAAAAGTTTAATTGATTTGCGCGCAAAATTGTAAAATAATTGATAGATAGAACGCGTTCAGAATTTAATGAGAATTCGCCCGCAGCGAAAGTTGCGAATATTTACAAAATTGCAATACGATAATTTCTGAACAATAAAATTAAAAAGAATAATTTATAAAAACAAGGAATAGCCATTTTGTAATAATAATTATTAATTAGAAAAGTTTTTGCCGCCAGTGTTGAGCGAATTGCAAGCAAATCAGAATTTCTACATTGATTTTGATTTTGATTTTGATTTGAAATTTTGTTCGGAGAACTGTGGATGATGAAACCCTTGAGTGATGAGTAACAGTTGCATTATGAAATATACGCATATGTACATGCATATGTATGTGGGCAATCGAAGCCGAAAAGTAATTGGAAAATACATTGCATAGAATTGGTTTTTCACTGGCCAAAGCTGGTCATATTCAATTTCGTGGGCACTTGAAAATTTTCAAATGTGTTCGAGTAACGGAGAGAGGGGACGAGGGGTGGTCGGTCTACTGCCAGAGCAACCGACACTTTTGGCCAACATTTTAATTACCATTTTGGGCTCAAATTCGGCTTGGCTTGGCTGGAAAAAGCATTTCATATTTTGCAGCAATTTGCCAGCCAAACGAGACGAGATTGAGCGCACAAAGCCAAAGCACACACACTCACGCATATATGACATAAATTGTGGGTGGGGCAGGAGCAGTTTTGTAATTATCGTCACATAGTATTTATTTGGTCTACGTCGTATTTCATGTTTGTCTGTGGCTCATATCATATTTCAAACGAATTTGTGTTTTGCGGCAGAGTGAAAAGCTTTCCAATCATGTCTGTGCGTGTTAGTGTGTATGTGGGTGTGTACGCCCTCAATTGCGGCTGCATACGAACCAAAATTATAACAAATTATTTGCCAGCCTTTGATTTAATATCAAATAATCTTTGGCATTAATAACGTTGCCTCAGAAAGTCAAGCTTAATCAAGTGTGAATTTCAATTGAAATCAAATGTAATTGAAACTTTGAAAAGAAGAGGAAAAACTTTTATATCTGCCTGGGTTTGAGTAGAGAATCAAAAAGGCCAGCAGCTCAATTTATTTAATTCA